CCCCCCCCGCCCCCCCCGCCACTGCCGCCGCCGCCGCCACAGGCTGAGTCTGCAACCCCGAGGTGAAGCCCCGGCCGGGCCCTTGCTCCCCTCCGGCCCGTCCCCTGGCCGTCGCGCCCCCTCGGGGCTCCCCTGGCCCGCGCGCATCTCTTTCCCAGGAGCTGCGCACCTGCTCCATCACCCGCGCTTCCCCGCCCCCTCCTTCCCTGTCTTCTCGGAGCCAGGGAAGTGGATCTGTTCCTCTCGGTTTCTTTCTGTCGCCCCCTCCTCATTTGGGCGCCAGCCGTCTCCGCATCTATTTCTCTCTAGTCTTACCCTTCGCCCTGGCTGGCCCCTCTCCCCATGCCCTGCTCCGTCTCTGGTTCTGTCAACGTTAAGTTCGGGGTCTCCCCGGGCGTGCATTTTTATCCTGGTATGTTCCCTTGGCTTTGCATATGGGGAAATGTCTTCTCTCACCCTTCCGCAGCATCCCTGGACTTCCTCTAGACTCCTCTTCCTCTCACTCCTCCTCGCCGCCCCTCTCGGCTGCCCCGAGAATTGGGAGGGAAGAAGGGGAGAATTTGTCTAGGGGCAGCGGGAGGACGGGCCCAGCCCTGCATCTTTCCCTGGTCTCTCCTCCTTATCCCTCCCTGTTGCAACCCCCAGAGAATGAAGGCCTTTCCCAGGGCCCTCTCCCTGGACTTCTCTACGTACATCTCTCAGCAAGAAGAGGGACGTACATTTGCGAGAGAGATGGGGATCCTGGCGTGGGGGCTGGGTGTTAAGCTGGGGTGGGATGGGGGCTCTAGAGGAGAGGCCCCAGCTGCCCAGACCCCTCCAAAGAGAAAGGCAAGCAAGGCTGGCAGCCATGCCGCTCTGAGGAGGTCTGGGGGAACCAGACCTGGCGGCTGCCAAAGCTGCTGAGGGGGCGAGGGAACTACTGCCGGGCCCCTCCCTTCGCTGCGGAGTCCTCTCATCTCTTCGTCGGATCTTGCCCCGCCCCCCACTGCAGTGACCTCCCCTTCCTCACTGCATTGACCTTCTCCTCTCCCCAAGGTGGTGGTGGGGGGAATCCCTTCTGTAACTGAGGTTCGCAGCCTGCTCCTCCCCTCCCCCACTGCAGTAACCTCTTTCCCATCCCTCCTAGCCTCGGGCCCCTCCCACTGGTCTCAGGCTCCACCCCTCTAAGCCTCTTACCTTTCTCCTTTCCCTTCCACCCAAGGAGATCCCAGCCATCATGTCCATAGAGAAGATATGGGCCCGGGAGATCCTGGACTCCCGTGGGAACCCCACGGTGGAGGTGGATCTGTACACTGCCAGAGGTACTGGATCTGCCTGGGCCTTCTCACAGCCCTCCTGCTGGGTGTTCTCTGCTTTGGATGGGAAGCTTCCTCGATTCCTAGCAAGGAAGGGGTGCTGGGCCAGGCTCTCTCAAGCCTGGATTGTGAGGGGTTGGATCCTGTTGTCCAGAGGAGCCAAGATAGTCAGGTCTCCGTGTTTTAGTTTAGTGTAAGAAACATGCCCTGCCTCCACATGTTTGTGTGTGCACCTGTGTATGTGCATATGAACGCATAGCTTCATTTCTCTGGGTTCCTACTAGGGCATGTGGGACCTCATTTGGGCAGAAGAGGAGGCCACTGCTTGTGTATCTGCCTCTGTGTTTGTGTGTGTATGTATTAGGGAGCAGTGTGTGTGTGTGTGTGTGTGTGTGTGTGTGTATGTGTATTAGGGAGCTGTGTGTGTGTGTATATTAGGAAGCAGTGTGTATGTATTAGGGAGCAGTGTATTCTGTGTGTGTGTTAGGGAGCAATGTGTGTGTATATTTGGAGCAGTGTGTGTATATTAAGGAGCAGTGTGGTGTGTGTATGTGTTAGGGAGCAGTGTGTGTGTGTATTTGGAGCATTGTGTGTGTATAAGGGAGCAGTGTATGTGTATATTAGGGAGCAGTGTGTGTGTATTTGGAGCAGTGTGTTGTGTGTGTATTAGGAATCAGTATGTGTATTAGGAAGCAATGTGTGTGTGTATTAGGGAGCAGCGCATTGTGTGTATTAGGAAGCTCTGTGTGTGTGTGTGTGTGTATTGGGGAGCAATGTGAGGAAAAAGCTGGATATGGCAGGTAAGAGTTGAGAGCTAGAAGGCCGAGGCGATCCCTGGTCCCTGCAGTGTCCGCTCTTCATCCTCACTCCATGTTCCTCTCCCAGGTCTTTTCCGGGCTGCGGTGCCCAGTGGAGCCTCCACTGGGATCTATGAGGCTCTGGAGTTAAGGGATGGGGACAAACAGCGTTACTTAGGCAAAGGTGAGGCCTCCTCTTTTTTCCAAGCTCTTCCGCCCCTCGACTTATACTGCTATCTCGCACCAGACCCCAAGCCTCTTCCTGCATGCCTTTCTTTCCTTTTCCCTTCTTGCCCCTCCTGGTCTGACCCAGTCTGACCTCTGCCTCTCCCCAGGTGTCCTTAAGGCAGTGGACCACATCAACAACACCATCGCGCCAGCCCTCATCAGCTCAGTGAGGCTTGCTCTTTGCTGGGGGTGGCAGGACCAAGGGCCTGGAAGGAATCTTGGGTTAGGGGAGGAGGAAGAGGAGCAAGAAAGGCCTACTCCTTGGGAATCATGGTTACCGAGGGAAGGGTGGGGACATGACCCCTGCTCCTATGGGGGTTTAGGTCCCCTGATCCAGACAGGCCATTGTCACAGAAACCTGGTGGGACCCTGAGTAATGTGAGCCTGTGTGTGAATGGGGGGGCCCTGTGCCTTAGGGCCAGACCTCTATCCTGGCTCTGGGTGATGGTGGCTCTGCCCACAGGGTCTCTCTGTGGTGGAGCAGGAGAAGCTGGACAACCTGATGTTGGAGTTGGATGGGACTGAGAACAAGTGTAAGCAGGGGTCGGGACATGTGGAGCAGAAAGAGAACTGAAGGGGCCAGCACTAGGGAGGCTTCCTGAGGAAAGACTGTCAGAGGACTAGCCCTTCTTCCATCCTTCCCCCAAAGCCAGAGCAGGAACAGATGAGTTTAACTGCAGTGGGGGAGTGACATTAGACAGAGGAAAAACTTCTTTGCAGTACAAAGAGAAAGGAGTAGGCATGAGATAGTCTGGTCTTGGGCTGTTTAGAAATAGGTGCAGCTCTCTGCCCTTTCCACTCACCCCCTCCCCACTTCTATGTCCCCTGCTATTTCAGGAGAGAATAGATGAGATGTTGCCGGAGAGGAGAGGGAGGAAGAGGTCTCCTTTACAGGCTTTGGAGAGTATAGGTAGAGGCAAGGGCTAGAATGAGAAGGGGACATTTTTGCTCAGTGCCTTTCTCTGTAATCTCTAGCCAAGTTTGGGGCCAATGCCATCCTGGGTGTGTCCCTGGCCGTGTGTAAGGCAGGGGCAGCCGAGCGGGAATTGCCCCTATATCGCCACATTGCTCAGCTGGCGGGGAACTCAGACCTCATCCTGCCTGTGCCGGTGAGCACTGCACCATGGCTGTGCCTCTTCCAGGGGCGGGGGCAGGGGGAGCATGAAACCTCATGAAGACTGATGGGAAAGGGAATCGGGGCAGTTAAAGAGAAAGGTTGGGGATAGGTGATTTGGAGTCTGGGAAGCTGGGGGAAGTTTGTGATCTTGAATGAATACTCTCAGGAGCAGAAAGGAAGGTTCTCAGTGACTTTTCTATCCTGTGGCTCCCAGGCCTTCAATGTGATCAATGGTGGGTCTCATGCTGGGAATAA